TCTAGATAATTTTATTAGTGCTTACAATGATAAAAGACGCATCTGGCAGCAGAACAGCATTCCTCTATTGTAGAATTTGTGTTCTGCACAGGCTCACATCTGCAAATGCAGATTGACATTTTTGTAAATTATGGAAGATTTTCTAATCTAAGACATTCTCTTCCTCTTGCTGTTCTTTAAATCATTCCTTCTAGTTTTTCCTGGTTTTCATTCCTTCTAGTTTTTTTTTCTTTTGTGTGCTTATAGTCACCCATTGCATAATTTCACTCATTGCATGATTACGTAGCAAGCATCTTTTGTGACATATTGCTATTTTATTCTTCTTCATGTATACAAACTTTACTGCATACTGAGGGGCTCATGTAGAAATATTTTTATCTGTCACCATTGAAGACTGGTCTTTCTGGAGCAGGGTCCTTAGCTCACACCTAGCTTCAGGGTTGCCTGAAACAATGGGATGAAGATCCCCAAATGCTCCCTACAGTCACTCATTTTGCTGTTTTGGCCTCAAAAGTGAAGAAGAAAATAATTTCTTAATTTTATAGAACTAATACTAAAAAATTACACTCTTTGCTGAATATTTCAGTTACCATCACCCATTATCCTTTTGGGCAGTATCCAACTTGCCACAGGACAATAACTTACAAGCACTCTTTTGCGTGTGTGTGTGTGTGTGTGTGTGTGTGTGTGTTTGTGTGTGTGTGTGTGTGTGTCGTTCATGCTCTATTCAACAGCACATCAACTGCCAATATAAACAACATAACTTGAAGAATTTTGAACACCATAATGCCAGAACTCAGGTCAAGATACTATTGACATAATGGAAGTCTCACCTGAATCACAGATTTACAGACTTTTGAGATTGGAAGAGACCCTTAGAAATCATCTGGCCCATGCCTCTGCTCAGAACCCAGCCACCTAAAGCAGGTTACTCGTGACTGTGTCCAGCCGGGTTTGAATATCTTCAAGGATGGAGATTCTCCAGACTCTCTTGGCTCCCTATGCCACTGTTTGATGACCCTTAAAGTGAAAGTGTTTTTTCCTATATTCAAATTTAATTTCTTGTATTTCAAGAACACATTTCTTGTGTCCTTTGCCTCCCCTTCCGTCACTGAGCATCAGGGAGAAGAGTCTGGTTCTCTCTACTGCCTGCCAACAAATAGATTTATAAGATCCAGACCTTGAAAATTAGGGCTTCCATCTATGGAAATGAAGACCAACAGCATTGCCTCTCCCAGTAAGTCTTTTCTATAATGTTCTTAGTCCATCGCATTTCACACAGTAGGTAAATGCTCCCCAGAGGAATCTGAAATGCTCAGCAATTGAAGGGAATTTTCAACACATATTATTACTTCTCTAATCTGCACACTAAAGGCCCAGGAAGCTCATGTCTTACTCAAATTTTCCATCAAGGTTCTGCAAAATTTAGACACACCCAATCCACAGTACCTGACTAATATTCCCTTTTGGGGTGCAGTAGCTTCTGCAGTTGTTCCTGTATTAATTGTGTGGATCCATGGTCAATTTTGTCCTTTAAACTTCAATCCTTTATCCCTATTGATTCTTTTACAGTTTCAGGTTCCCATAGCCCAAGGCAGGAACATTTTAGTGGTTCTAATAAAAACACATTTCTAGTTATAAGAATAAATTAATACAATAGTATTCGCACTATAATTCTCTTTGAATTAAAAATACCTATTGTAAATTGCCAGATTTTTCTATTGACATGAAGGAAACAAATGAGAGAGACAGAGAAAGGGGGAGGACAGAGGGAGGAAAGGAGAGGGCAAGAAGGGAGGAGGAGCAAGACAGCCTTGCCAGAAACAGGATTTATTTGTGCTAAGCCCATAAATAGAGTTACAGATATGGCATTAATAGAGATACAATTTAAATAAATCAGCTGCTGGGAAACAGAAATATTATGCAACAGAAGCAAATAACTGGTTCAGTGATCACTGGAATTAATAAGCCCTGAGTTTCAATGTATTTAGATTTTCTGGAGGGTGCCATTTTTAACTGAATTCTTCTAAAGCAGCTGCATAGGTGCATCTCTTTTCGAAGAACAGATGATCTACACAAGATAGAAATACTCTCTATGGTTTAGATGACTCTTCTTTTTGTTCAGTGAGGTGCAACTTCTGACTGAACTGGGGTAGTAATAAAAGTTGAGAAACCTGCCCAACAAGTGTTTTTGAAATTAGCAGGATTCCATGAGAAGTTTTGGATTTGCTGAGTTCTTGTTCACTAGACCTAGGTATTGAATTCGAAGTGAAACAGTTATCCAGTATTGTAACCAAAGTATTTAGGTGCATTTTTCCCAATTCTCCAAATGGCTCCTATTTATTATTGTTTGTATTGTTTCTGATAAAAACTGTATCAGAAATCTGGTGAAAGAAGTCAGAATAATTAGATACTTGCAACCTTTGTCATTAATAACATCTGATTTTCTGAAAATGCTACGGATTATAAACCCACAACTCACTGTTTATGGAAATGTCAATAATAGACAATGCCTGGTTTTGATTTTGGTCTTTTGAATATCAGTAATTTGATTTAGAACTCTGCAATTTGATGATCGTATGTTCCTATTTCATACCAAATCTGTGGAAGTAAGTGGCTGAACAGGTAATACATTTGGTTAACACACCTTTCAATCCAGTAAAATGAAATATTTCTTTCTAATAGCTGAAGGCTTCATGGAAATCAATAGCTTTATAAAAGCTGGTATTTGCTGGTAGTCTTCTCAACTCCAGCTGCAAAACCAGTTGGATTTTTTCCTAATGAGATTGATACGTTGCCCTTTCTCTGAATCTCTGGAGTTATGTGAGACAAGCTAAGCAGTTTGTTGAAGACACAAAACAGAAGAGGTCAGGGGAAACACTTTCACTGTGCTGAAACCGGTACACAGAGTCCTCAATGATGGTGAAAGTGTCTCTAAAAGATGATAATATCTTGGTCTAAAGAACTGCATTTTATCACTCTTCCCAGTAGCCGAGGTCAGCTGCATTTGCAACTACAGTTTTTGCTTAATTCTGTGAAAACTTCCTCTTCCATGTTACTTTCCTGAACACCATAAAAGCAGGAACCACTAAATATAATTTTTTAATTTATCTTAGTTTAAGACAAGATATCAACTGAGCTTTAGACACCTAGAAGATTAAAGACAAAACAAAGGTTCATTTAAAAAATCAGCAACAGTAAAAACAACAAACAACGTGGATCAGTAATTACTAATAGTTAATACTACTTGTGTGGGTTGGCAGTAAAAGAAGCTGTTATAAAGGCTGTCTAGGAATAGATTTTTAACAGCATAGTAAATTTGATAATTTCATTACATTTATTTCATGTAATAGTAAATACAGTTATGCTTGGAATCATGTATTATGAATTTGAATAACAAATGCGTGCTTTATTGAGATCAAAAATGTACTTTTTTGCTTTGTTTCATTCTGGTTTGGTTTTGGATGGGTTTTTGGGGTTTTTTTGTTTGTTTGTTTGTTTGTTTTGTTTTGTTTTTGGGGTGGTTTTTTCTTTTTTTTTTTTTTTTTATATAAAGGTCAAATAATCCCAGGAAAGGAATTGGGTCTTAACAATGTTTAGAGAACATACAAGAGATTTAAGAGTTGCCTTCAATAAAGCACTCCATAAAGTGCACATGGTCTTTAATAACAGCCTTTCCAACTCTTCAATGTTTTTTTTTCCAACAAGTTACCATGAAGATGATTCTTGACAAAGCTAATCATTAATACTAAGCATCTATGACCAAACTGTAAAGAATTTTTTTAGTAGTATATGGATAATTTAGTGGCTTATCAGCATTTATTGAACTTCACAGCAACCTGAGATTTTGAATTAAACTTTCTACCTGATTTGCAAACAGTAGGCTCCTTGTGATTCTCTGCTGAACATGTATGTTCCTTCAAATATCCTGTGCTTTGACACTTCATTTAACTGAGATGACTTTCTAGAAGTAATAAAATACTGCTAATCCAGTCGATCCAGTTGCTGGTTTTTCCTGTTCAAGATTTATCAGATGATTTCAAACATTTTACAGAAGCATACTTTTAACAATGCAAAACTGAAAAAGTTCAAAATAATTTCCTACATGACTTAGTGCCAGATATTTTAATTCACATTTTCTATTGTTCTCTTCAGTCTGCTTTTGCAGTTTTAGGATGACATATTTTTGCATCTTATTTAGGAAGGTTGACTTTTTTATTCAGAAGAAACCCATATATGTTTAGAAAATAATTTCTGTGGTACAACCAGATGACAGCTTGCCAGGAAATGAGAAACCTGAAATGATTCCACAAAGGATTCAAAATTTCACGAACTTGCTATCATGAAAGAAGGGATGTTGAAACTCTTTCCTGTACAAGCTGTTCCCTGTGATACACTTTTTTCCCCCTCATTGTGAGAAAATATCATCAGGTATAAGTGAACTTTCCACTTTTTCTGCACAGACTTTTTTGCATGTCTGTCTTGACAGAAGAATAGTAATGGGAAGCATAGGAATGATAGAAAATGCCTCACTCTTATTATCCTTGTAAATGCAACTAAAAATGTATTAGCAAGTAAATGTATTAGCAAATGTATTTGTCCTTGATGGATCAAAGAAATTTTCACTCAGGAGCAGTTTCTGTTTACGGATCCAGCATTTTTGAAACTCTCACACACACAGTTTTACCGATTGTTTCAGAGCCTGATCCCGGCCAGCCCCGGGGCAAATGCAAAGAAAAAGAAGTTTATTTAATCAGATTTCCCACGGAAATCTGATTTTGCTCATGGATCTTCTTCCGTCTGGTGGGATCAGGTAGAGACCCTTGCTGAGAATCCTGCATGCCATTAGCAGGCAGCTACAGCAGTGGGTTCCGGGGAGGAACTGTGGATTTGGATGAGTCCAGCGAAGCAGCTGTGCTCAGTTTCAGCGAGGAAAGAGTTAAGGAGCTCCGTGTTCCCCTGTGCCCGGGAGGCAGCCTTTGTGTTTAACATTGGCAGGGGCTCAGTTCAGGCTGGAGGTTTGTTTTAATTGGGGGAGGGGGCAGTGAAGAGGGGACGCTCCGACTTCTTCAGTCTGTCTCTTTCGTTCACTGATTTAGCGGAGGTGGGGATTTTCAATTCCACCCAGTCAGACGCAGGCAGGAGGATCTGGTAAGACTACCCCAGGAAAAGCCACTCCGAAGAAATTCTCCGAGGCGGCGGCGGCGGCGCCGGCAGCCCCAGCATGAGGGTGAGCCGGGCGGGGAGCGCGGCGGGGGGAAGTGCGCGGGATGCTGCGGGAGCCCCATCCCCATCCCACGCCGGGAACAGCCCGGCCCGAGCCGCGGGCACCTTCCGCACCGCTGGAAACGCCCCGGACAGGGATTCGGGGCCGGTGGTGCACCTCTGTGTGCGGGTGTGAGCGTGTGAGAGAGAGGGAGGGAGGGAGGGAGGGAGAACAAGAGACGGGCACAAGGCAGCTTGGGGGAACTGTTATTCCATAAAGTTCAACAATGTATGGATCTTGCCAGAGGCTCTCTATATACGCTGCAGGGCAGGCAGCACTGGTTTGCCAGTGCATGCTGGAATTGATCCTTCGCTGGCGGAGCAAGGAGCGTGTTTCCTCTAGACTTGGAGAAGGAGCAGTGGGCTGCTTCCCCGGCAGCGCTCGCTGGGAACAGCCCAGAGAATCCCCCTTGCCGGCGTTGTTCCCTTCAGTGCCTTCCTGCCCTGCTCCGCTTCATTTGCTCCTGTTCACATCTCAGCTGCCTTACACTCATCAAGCACTGTTAACGTTTTAGCTGGTCTTTGGAACAATTTCATTTCCACTAGTACGGCCTCTTCTTGCGAACCTCGGCATGGGAATTTTTTTTGTTTGATACTCCAGGCAAGTCAGGAATTCAGTTCCCTGCATCCGCGGCTGTTCCTGCAGCACTGCCGGAGCACAGGCACAACACAGGCCGGTGGCTCCCACATTAACAGAGCACCCTCACACCCTCCAGGTACCCGGGCTGCGTGTGTGAAGGACAGTCCTAGATTACCTTATGACAGGAAGTTATCAGAGATGCCAGTGTGTTCCTCATACAAGCCAGGCTGCATGTTATATTCTGCAACAAGATAAACACTTTAAAAATATTCACAGAGGAATGAAGGGCTGTCAGGAACCGATAAAAAAGTACCCTTAGTAGTTTGCCTATTAAAAACTTTCTCGTTTTGCTTCTTAGGGAAAAGTTTCTTTCGGGAGAGGGAAGAGGGTAATTGGCAATTTTGTTCCCAGCCATACTGCCACCATGTTTATACGATACATACATCAAATTTTCACAAAAAGGGTCACAAAGTAAGGACAAAACTAATACAACTAATAACTATAAACTAACAAAATATAGGGTTATGGTTTCTATTCATAGCTTTATCACATTTACTTGGGAAAGCCATTAATAGTGATACATGTTTCCCATTTCTAAACTGAGGAACTGTAACCATAGAAAATAATACAAGTATTAATCCTTGCCTGAAAAGAATTACAGTCAAGCATCTCTGTTGTTTCTGGTAAGATTTAGAAACCTAAAGTGAAAACACTTGCACCATGCTGCTGCTACGTGCCCTGAGATACCGTCATAACCAGCATTTAATTTAATTAAATAAAGGATTTACTATTTAGTATGTTAAACTTGGAAATTAACTCCATGGGAACTTGCAGTTGGCCAGTTCCTGAACTCAAATACAGCAGTACAAGGATTGAAAGGTGGATCCCTGGTCTGTGAGGGACAGCACTCTGCATGCCAGATAGGAATACTCGGGTTAGCATCGCATCTGCTGCTCTACAGAGATACACACACACTTCCACAGACCACATACAACAGGAGCCTGCAATGCTAGTAAATATTTATACTCTGCCTGCTCCAGAAGTACTATCAGTAAATTTTCTCCCTCCTTCTCGGGTAAACGTCTTGCTATAAACTCTGATTTAACAGCCCCAGAGGGAATGAAATTAGGATTCATTTATTTAAAAGGATCCTCCCAAATACTTCAGATGAGTCCCTGGAAATCAGAAAGTTATAAATACTTTATTTGCAACTCTTCTTTTGTCAACACTGCAGCACTTTGTCTTGTTTTGCAGACATAAACCATGTAAATGAAAAAATCTTAATCTTAAATTAAACCAAGGCTTCAGGAAAATGGATTTAAATGGCATCCCTGGTTTCACTGGAGGTTTGGTATCTACAAACCCAGTGGCAGTGGTTACACACAGGCAGTGTCACACTTACTAGGGCAGGATTCTATGATGCTTTCTTCCCTACCTGGAACTGTCATGAGTTGTTGCTTAGAATACTAAACCAAGTATTTTTTTTATCCTTAAAGAGCTTAATATTTTATTATTAACTTCACTGTGGCTAAACACTGAGCATGAGTTGCAATTACATTCAGAACCAGATGACAGAGTTTGAAGGTATTTTCCCGGCCAGAGGTCTGTCCTAGGGCTATAAAATCTTCCTCCTAATATTTAGGGATTTTGGATCTGGTCTGGATTTTGGATCTGGTCCAGATTTTGATTTGAAATACATGTCTTATCAGTTTTCATTTGAAATCCAAGTAATAAGTCAGACAAAAATAATATAAATCTAATTGTTGTAGTTCCTCAAAAATACTTGGAAAATTGGTGAATTTACTGCTTTTAATTTTTAATGTAGTGCTTTTACCTTTAGTTTTCAAAGAAAAAATAGTAAGTTCTTTAGCTAAAATACCATTCAGCAATCTCCAAGACATGTCAACTGCAAGACTATATTTTAAAACAAAATTTCATCCCCCTTATTTTTTCCATCCCTATACAAATTGTGTCTCAGCAGGGTTTTGTGGTATCTTATTTGCATAAGGTATCATTTAAGGAATTTTTTGTGTTTGCCTCTTGCCAGACGGGTAATGGGGGTAATCTAGATTTCAGAGCAGCACAGTGAGTATAAACAGGTGTTTATACATATATGCTGCAGAAGCTGAACGTTCCCTAAGTGAGAAACAGGATGTGTTAGACTACCTGTTGTACTGATTATGTGGGTATTTTCCTTTTCTTTTTTTGCTTACAGTTTCTCTCCACAGGTGAAAAAGTGAGAAGTATCTCACTGAAATACTAAAGAAAAAAGCAAAACACTTGTCCCACTGAATTTGCTCATTGGGGACTTCAGGATGGAAGCCCTGTGTTTAAGAGTTTCCTTGCTGCTGCTGGTCCCGGGATTTGTCCTCAGTGACAGCTCTGACAGAGACGTTTCCAACAGGAGTGACTCGGGAAACCCCCTTTCCACCTTCTCAGGGATCGAATCCAGCATTCTCCTCACCACCATGCAGCCCCCGGTGTCCAACCAAACTGTCAAATGCTCCCAGCAGACTAAGATTGCTGAAACTTTCAAATACATTAACACCGTGGTATCCTGTGCTATTTTCATCATTGGGATGGTTGGGAATGCAACTCTGCTGAGGATCATTTACCAGAACAAGTGTATGAGGAACGGCCCGAACGCGCTGATAGCCAGCCTGGCACTGGGAGACCTTATCTACATCGTCATTGATATCCCCATCATCGTCTACAAGGTAGGACACCACCACCCATTCCAGCTGCAGTTCCTCGCCAGCTCCCTGGCTGTTCTCTGTGCTTCCTCCTCTATTTAGTGCTCTTTTGTCAATTAATGGTGCACTTAAGGAAACAATACAACTCCTTTTTGATCTACAACAAACCCCTTGCTCTCAGGTCTCATCTCCATCAAGAAAAAATGTATCATCTCCCATTAAAGATGATGTAGCTCTTAGCTCCTAACCCAAGTGTGGCCTTGGGCATTTCACAGGAGCTCTTCATTTCTCATAGCTGCTACAGCTAGCAAAAGAATTTATGAGGGAAGACTTTTTATAAACTGTTCTCCTCTTTGATGAACTAGCTGCTATTTTTATATTATCCAATCCTTACTTTATATTTTTACAGAAAATACTCCCTGTGATATGCAGGCTTCATAGTATGACTTTGAAGGGAGAGATTACATCAGTTAAGTTGAGCCTTAAGGTTTTCATTTAATATTCATTAATAGCAGAGTCTCAAAATTATTCCAATTATATCACAGACCATTTCTGAAATATTAAATTTCATCTGGATTTGTCAAAGTGCAAAAAGGCTCCTCAGCAATTCTTTTATCCAGTATAAACTTATCTTGTCCCAGTGTTTTGATTTGCCAATTTAATTAAACAAAGCCATTAAAGCAGTGCTTTTTCTGATGCAGTTTATGTTTACAAATATAATTCAAACCAGAACATGCTTGAGTGAACAGAACTGAGCCCTTTTTTAATACATTTCATTGATATTAACTTAGAATCATCTTAGAAAATCATCAAAGAATTTTGTAATCTTATACCTGTCTCTTTGTGGACCGTACACAGGTGCATAGCTGATAGGATATTTGACTTTTTCTTTCTTTTTTCAGTAGAAACATTAAGTGTTTCTGTTTGTAAATAAAACACTAAGTCATATAATATATATGTCATATAATTAAGAAAAAACATTGTTCACAATTTCAGCCCTTAAAGATTCAAATTACTTTTATTTACATGTGTTTTAAATGAAACATTTTAATGCATGGTTTTATAATAACTGGTGCCCTGTGGTTTCAAACTGGATTTTAAAATTAAGGAAACAATGACTTTAAAACATGCCTTTTGCATGTTTATAACACTGACATCATAACTGCATTATAACACAGGTATTCATAGGACAAGATCATAAAATTTGAATTAATTAATGGGAAAAAATTCTGTGTGCATGTATTACATTTGTACAGAGGCACTGGGAGTCTGTTATTGTCTACCCAACGAGGAGGAAGAGGTGGACAACTTATTCTATAAGCAGCTGGAGAATGTTTCAGGATCACCAGCCCTTGTTCTTGTAGGTGACTTTAACCTACCAGACATCTGCTGGGAACTTAACACAGCAGAAAAGAGACAGTCCAGGAAGTTCTTAGAGTGTGTGGAGAACAACTTTTGTCACAGTTGGTGAGCGAGCCCACCAGGGGAGGGACTGTGTTAGACCTGTTGTTTGCAAACAGAGATGGGCTGGTGGGAGATGTGGTGGTTGGAGGCCAAGTGGGGCAGAGTGATCATGAAATTATAGAGTTCTTGATATTTGGTGAAGGAACATCAATAAGACTTTTACATTAGACTTCCAGAGGGCAGACTTTGGCTTATTTAGGAGACTTAATCAGAGAGTTTCATGGGAAGCAGCCCTCAAAGAAGTTCAGGAAAGGTGGGCATGCTTCAAAACAGAGACCTTGAGGGCCCAGGAACAGACTGTCCCTGTGTGCCGAAAGGTGAGTCGACAAGGCAAACGTCCAGCCTGGATGGGCAACGAGGTTTTGAAGAAACTTAGGAATAAAAAGAGAATGTATCATCCTTGGAAGGAGGGTCAGGTCTCTCAGGAAGTATTAAAGGGGTTTGCTAGGGCACGTAGCAAAAAAGTTAAGGGAGATCAAAGCTCAGCTCAAACTTAATTTGGCAACTTTGGTAAAGGATAATAAAAAATGTTTTTACAAATATATTAACAGCAAAAGGAAGAGTAAGACCAACATTTGTTCTCTACTGGATGCAGGAGGGAACTCAGTAACTGCAGATGAGGAGAAGGTGAAAGTGCTTAACGCTTTCTTTGTCTCGGTCTTTAGTGGGAAGATGTCTTGTCCTCAGGACAACTGTCCTCCTGGGCTGGTAGATGGCACCAGGGAACAGAATGGTTCCCTTGTTATCCAGGAGGAGGCAGTCAGAGAACTGCTGAGCAGCTTGGATGCTCATAAATCTATGGCAGCACATGGGATCCATCCCAGGGTAATGAGGGAGCTGGCAGATGAGCTTGTAAAGCTGCTCTCCATCACTTACCAACAGTCCTGGTTCACTGGTGAGGTTCCAGAGGACTGAAAGCTGGCCAGTGTGATGCCCATTCACAAAAAGGGTGGGAAGGAGGATCCTGGTAATTGCAGGCCAGTTAGCCAGATCTCAGCACCCAGTAAAGTTATGGAGCAGTTTATACTGGGTGTCATCACACAGCACTTACAGGATGGCCGGGGTGTCAGACCCAGCCAGCAGGGGTTTAGGAGGAGTAGGTTGTGTTTCACCAGCCTGGTCCTCCTTTTATGACCAGGTGACCTGCCTGGTGGATGCAAGAAAGGCTGTGGATGTGTCTATGTGGACTTCATCAAGGCCTTTGACACTGTCTCCCACAGCACACTCCTGGAAAAGCTGCAGCCCACGGCTTGGGCAGGAGCACTCTGTGCTGGGTTAGGAACTGGCTGGATGGCCGGCCCAGAGTGCTGGTGAATGGTGCTGCATCCAGCTGGGGCCAGGCACCAGGGTGTCCCTCAGGGCTCTGTGCTGGGGCCAGTTCTGCTCAATATATTTATTGGTGACATGGATGAGGGTATTGAGTCCTTCATTAGTAAATATGCAGATGACACCAAGCTGGGAGCATGTGTTGACCTGTTGGAAGGTAGGAGGGCTCTGCAGACAGACCTGGAGTGGTTGGATGGATGGGCAGAGTCCAGTAAGAGGAAGTTTAGTAAGTCCAAGTGCCAAGTCCTGCATTTTGGCCACAATAACCCCCTGCAGTGTTACAGGCTGGGGACGGTGTGGCTGGAGTACCCAGGCAGAAAGGGGCCTGGGGGGACTGGTGACAGGTGGCTGAACATGAGCCAGCAGTGAGCCCTGGTGGCCAAGGGCATCCTGGCCTGTATCAGGAACAGTGTGGCCAGCAAGGAGCAGGGAGGTCATCCTTCCCTTGTACACAACACTGGTGAGGTCACACCTTGACTGCTGTGTCCAGTTCTGGGCCCTCAGTTTGGGAAGGACGTTGAGATGCTGGAGCGCGTCCAGAGGGGGGAACAAGGCTGGTGAGGGGCTTGGAACACAAACCCTGTGAGGAACAACTGAGGGAGCTGGGGGTGTTTAGCCTGTAGAAAAGGAGACTCAGGGGTGACCTTATCACTCTGTACAAGTTGCTGAAAGGTGGTTGCAGTCAGGTGGGGGTTGGTCTCTTTCTCCAGGCAGCAACTGACAGAACCAGAGGTCACAGTCTCAAGCTGTGTCAAGGGAAATATAGGCTGGATAGCAGGAAAAAGTTTTTTACAGAAAGAGTGATAAAGTTCTGGAATTGTCTGCCTGGATGTGTTTAAAAAAAGACTGGATGTGGCACTCGGTGCCATGGTTTAGTTGAGGTATTAGGGCATGGCTTGGACTTGATGATCTTGAAGGTCTCTTCCAGCCCAGTGATTCTGTGATTCTGTGACATTATCTATGGTGAAATGCAGCACCTGGTTCTGATCTTCCAGTGGTATATATTACAGATAAGTCTTTTAACTTTAACTGGGTTTAATATAACATGAATTTGAAACTAGGGTGACTGTAAATAATAATGGATGTGATTTAATAGGAATTCTAGTTTACACTTTTCAATACTCTGCCTGGGAAGTTAAATTGTCAATTTGTTGATAAGCTATCTGTAGAGTATTTTGGATTAACAAGTTGATGAGAAAGATTAGCTTCTGGATTTGAGATTCTCCTGTCTTCCACAGCTGGGTAAATGCTTTATGGGACATCAGACTGGGGTTCTTAGCTGGACTCAGAGCCTACACAAGGCCAGGCTGGATGGGGCTCTGAGCAACCTGGGCTAGTGGGAAGTGTCCCTGTCCATCCCTGTCCCATGGCTGCGGGGTTGGAACTGGATGATCTTTAAGGTCCCTTCCAACCCAAACCATTCAGTGATTCTATGACTGCACCTCCTATGATGTGTTACAGTTTTCTCCCTGGTCAGTTACCCTTAGGTCTTTATGGATAATTGCTAAGGCAGTGTTGTCACTCTCATGGTATATCTGATAGTACATTTTGAGGAAATATAGCATGAGTTCTATTCAGAGACAAGTTGGAGAAAGAACAAGAATTTTATTTCACAATTTTTTCTAACCTTTCAAGAGCTCTGCTTCTTTTTTGCAAAGAGGAATGGAAATCTGGAATTAATTATGCCTTTCAGAACTGCCTTTTGATGGTCTTCTGAAAATTCTTTGGAAGTTTAGTTGAAAGTAACAAACAATTTTTTTAATATTCTCTTTATTATTTTGCAATATATTTTTCCTATTATTTTTCTCTCACTTCTCTGGAATTCCATAGGTGCACTTGTCTTGGTCTATCTTATGTGATGAGCTGAACCATGGTTCTGATTTGATGAATGAAATTTCCTTAGCCTACATGAGAAATTATTTCTGTGCTGCAGAGAAGTATTGGATAAATAAAGGCTATGAACAAAATCGAAACCCCTTGACAACAATGTCAATTTCCATATGTAAGAAGGCAGAATTAAAATAAACTTTAAAGTTTCATTCTAGCTTTTAGTTATTTTTCAGTTATTTAACTTTCAGAATAAATTACTTATAAATTGCTACATACAACCATCTTGTCTGAGGTTTGCTGCAAGAATTGCAACACAGGGAAGCATTTATGGCTTTATAAGGGGGCTCTGGTAGATCTGATAAGAAATGCAATTATTATTATTATTATTATTATTATTATTATTA